TTTTTTTTTTGTGTTTTTTACTCCTTTCCTTTTTTTTTGTTACGCGGCATCTGTATTCGGCAGCGAATGGAGGACGATCATCTCCTGCTCGACAGCGTCATCGTAGACGCCGACTCTGTAGTTGGCGGCGCTCCTCCAGGCGCCCATCTCCGCCGCGCCATCGAAGCGCCTGCAGTAATGCACCTCGTTAAACACCGACACCTCCTTCAGCACACAGAAGCCGAGTTTTGTGGTGAACAGCTGAATGCTGGGCGTGTTCGTCGCTATAATTTTTGCAATAAAGCATGAGGCCCCCAACCTGTCCATGGCGTAGCTCATCAGCAGCCGCACTGCCTCTTCCCCGATGCCATGCCGCCGAAACGCGCGATCGGCGATCATCACCTCCACCTCAAAACAGCGACCCTCTTCCGACGATGCGCCCTCCGCCTCGCTGCTGCCGAGGCGAAAGAGATTGCAGTCGCCAACCATCACGTACGTCGTGTTGATGCGATGCTCCTCTTCGCGGTGGAGTGAGCCGGGACTGTAGGGGCTGCCCGACGACGTCGGGCATAGCGCTAACCGCGGTGTGCATATGTGCCCCCTTTGGAGTGCAAGGCTGCCACTGCATTTCTCTTCTCCCTCGTCGACCTTTTGTTCAACACCATCCGCATCATCAATCTTATCCCCGCCGACATCATCGTCACCGTCATCACATAGAAAGGAAATGCTTTCGTCCACATCTTTTTCAGATGAATCCGCCAACACCTCTTCAATCGTTTGCTTGTCCAGAATCATAGTAAGGGGTGCGAGGAGTATGAACGTCAGCTTGTCCTCTGCACATAGCCATTCGCGCTGGTTCTCATACTCCTCCTCCAGTGTGAGCGGCTCGCTCGCGGTGAATTGCAGCAGTTCGGGGTCACACATCCACTGGTGGTAGCGTGGGACGTGTTGCGCCAGGAACGGCACCAACCGCAAGCGACTGCCGCAGACCAGAACATGCTCATTGTTCATCTTCACAGCGATACAACACCTCTCACGCGAGCGAGCACTATAGGCTGTAGTCTTCTGCACAGTCTATCGCACACCCTTCGCACACGTGAGGAAACTCGCTCTGCAATTGCGCTGTTTCACACCAAAAAAGGCCAAAGAATCGAGCAGGCATAGCGAGACAGCGCAAGAAGACATGCTTCCCATCAAAAGCAAGAAAACGAACACAAAACAAAAAACCAGGTTTCCCCACTATTTTATCTTGATGGCGAATGTGCTCCCACCAACGCAGGGGCAATTTCCTCCTATACGCTGCGTCTTGTTATAAATAACAAAACAATACCATCCTTTCCTACTGTTTTGCTTGAGAGACAACCGAGCACCCACATCACTCAAAAAGCACACCTGCCAACACTCATATATATATATATATATATATATATATATATATACATACACATGTATATATAATGATACACACACGTATTTAGGTATGCATTGAGTGTGGCTCTGTTGCTGCACTGCACACTGTATTTTGTTCCCCCCACACCGCAGTCGTTTTTTCTTCTTCGTTTTCTCCCCACCTCTTCAATAATATAGAATTTTATTTCGAGCAAGCACGCAAATTATCCCCCCACGCAACGAATGGTGGGATAAATAAAAGAAAATCTTGGCAGGAAAACGCCTGCCAATTAAGACACTTCCCGCAGAAAACAATGGATGCACAGCTTTCTTGTTTGTTTGTTGTTATTTACCACACCCACCACGCTGCAGTCAACGTACCGGCCGGGGGAGCAAAAATGGCCGCATTGCACTTTTTTTCTTCCACCGGTAGCGCTAGTCCTCCTCTTCAGAGAACGATTGGTCGAGTGACTCGTCCGCGACACGCCGCACTCTTTCCTCATACTTTCCCCGCGACCGCGTATACAATTCAGCTGCTTCCCCATTGGCGGCCGAAGCCGGGTTCGGGTCCGACAGCAGCGAGGCGACCATAAGTAAAAGCGCCTCGACATCGAGTGCTGGGCTCCAGTGCGTTTTGAGCGTGTCGAGGCATATATTCCCATCTGTATATACGTTGGGGTGGAAAACATTCTTTGTAATAAAGCGAACCCTCGGTGGGGCGCAAGGGTACTCCTCCGTGAAATCGAGCCTCAATTTGAAGAGACCGCCCTCCCAAGACGTATTGTCGGGGCCCACCACAACGGCGCGCCAGTGGAATAAGTCGCCGTTGATAGGGCTTGCAGAGATGTAGTCGTTTTGGTTCGCCTGCATCCGCCGAAGATCCTGCATGAGACGCCGACGGGCGTCCAAGGCATTTCTCGGATCTGTCCCAACTGCATGAGCGTGGGTTATGTGTGACTGTGTCACCATCTGCGTTAACTGTGGTGGCTGCTGCAATGGCAACTGTTGTTCTTGATCGTCCACGTCTTCCTCTTCATTCGGACTATTAAACTCGTCTGGTTCTTCTTGCTGCTGCTGCTGCTGTTGTTGTTGTTGTTGGTGTTGGCCTTGTGTGTACTCCTCACCGGTTCCAAGGACAGGAGGCCGCTCTTCTGGCAACGTGCGCGGCGCCGTAGTATCGGACAACATTAGACTTTGTTTCTAGCACTCAAGCATACAGAAATTCGCAGCGGTGCAATCCACCCTTTTTAGTCTACTTTACTAGCAAAGCCAACCTTGTTTTAATTTCTCTTTTTTCCTTTTGGTTTCGTTTTCGTGGGGAGGTGATATATCAACCTGACAGGAGTGACCACGAAAAAGAATGACAGACAGCCCTGGGGCCAACAAAAGCAATGCGGTACACCAAGTGAAAATGGAAACATCTCACCCAATAGCACCAATCTCTTCTCCGTGCCTGACTTCATGCCCCATGTTCATATATATATATATATATATATATAT